CAAAATATGTTATGATTAAACATATAACAAACTCGTCTATACTTCGTTGACTAAAGTAGATTTAGATTATTTGTAAAAATAATTGTATTCTTAAATTATATTATAATAATACAAATATGCAATTTTAATATATTGTATTAAATGTGTTTAAGTTTGTCGGTTGAAATGTTGTGTACATGTGTAATCATGCAGATATCGAATGTTAATCTATTAATGAATAAATATGTAGATTGAGTTTCTATAGCCGAGGCTTTTCTATAGAATTTTAAGAATAAGGTCGGTAACTCTTGACCTCCCTAATTTAATTGATGGTAATTATTTAACAGATAGTCCGCGTGTTTAATAATGATTTTTCAGCTAATTAAGTAGAAGAAACTGAAGACAATTTAGGGAAACTGAAGTCGATCGAGTTCAGTTTCTCTAAAGTGACTAACTGTTTTGGTATTCGTATAGTCAAGATCAGCTAGAATTGTGATACTCATAAATCTATTGTATATACAATATAGAGTCACAAAAAATATATTTCCAAGAAAAGAAGAGCCGTGAAACGATAAGCCAGGAGATAGAAGTTCTCCGTTGATTAAGTTGCGGAAAACGGCGTAATAAATTCAAATTTCAGATTTTTACCCACAGCATAATGATAATCCAGTACCAGTGCCGCATAAGCACGCGCGTCATAAAAAAATTACGACGAGTTATCAAAAGGGCGCAGTAAAGCCCGCATCGTCTACGTTATATCGGCTATAAACTGTCCTGAACGTAATCTGACTCCCTGTTGCGCTGTCTTCCTAGTCCTCGTATGACTATAAAGGACCGATAAATTACTTCTTTATTTTTAAAAAAATTCGTAATGTGTTATTAAAATATGTTTAGTCTTTTAGTTGTAATTGATTAATTAACAGTCAAACTACAAACGTTTATAAGATTGTATTATACTGTTTTCTGCGGCTTCACTCTTGTGAATTGATTTATTTAAACTTTATTGATCAAAAATGTGGTACAAAAGGCGGACTTAATTAATTCTTTACCAATTAACCTTTACGATGTGCAGAGATACTCTAAAATCTACGATATGGTTTATTGATGTATAAAATTTTATTCAATTTTAACATAAGCAGTCATTAAAATGTGATTGACTAATAAGTATTCAAATAAAATAATATACAAGTAAAACCCCTATTTTTATTTGTTCCTTACAAACTGTTTCTAGCTGTCAATTAAATTTTTTCTATAAATTTAACAGAACGTCTGTCGATTCAGCTTGTTTATAATATTAATAGGATTTCATTACGTAGGTAATCTGTGTTATACATATGTTCGAAGCTACGCAACCGTACAGCTCAGCATGTATATTAATTGCATGTTATGCACAATTGATGCGCGACAAATTTGTGTGTTATTTGGAAACCAAGTAGTATGCATCGAACCATCGCCGATTAGAAAGCATTTGGCGCGTATTCCCTAACATTTTTATTACCTTTTCACTAGTCTATCGTTTACAAATTAGTGTTAAACAGCGCGTAAGTACTTAGTTTTAAATGAACTCTGCTTTTACCACACTATATCTGATGTTTAATAAACTTTTACCACACCATTTCAATACCATACGGGAACCTGTTCTAACCAAAAAGAACAACCCCGTAAATGGTCCTTCGAGCCAGATCATGTACAGGGTTACTTTTTTCTTGTGCAGCTCTGAACATTTCTTGATATAACGAATGTTACTGGTTGTTTGATTAGAATTGTTTTGTTTAATTCCGCCACCATTAAGTATTATGTGTGACCGCCAACACTCGAAAGTTGACGAACACTATTACTTCAATCTTCAAATGCTGGCATTAGGCGTGGGTAATATCTGTATCACTCCAATATCTGTATATTGGGTATTCCACTGGATATTGACGGTGGAAAAAGGGTCATCATATATGTCGACATCGCTCATATCAGTTGTATATCTAAGTTCATTTCGACTGGGTGCCTCATTTCCATATTATATATTGTATAACCTCTATTTAATATATTCATTAATGAACCAATATATAGATATTATTGTATATTATCCATCCCTAGTTGGCAGTCACACCCATACTAATCGTAGCGGAATTAAACAAAATAATTCAAATCAAGTAACCAGTGATATCAACTTCCGTAAGATAAAATCTAGTCTCAGTAAAATACGTATATTTACTAATTTGCTAAAATCGAACTTCAGCTTTTTTTATATCGAGGCTGTAGTGTATTATGCTGATAAAGTGCTTAATCAATTACCTAGAAATTCATATACTATGATTACTTAGAAAGTAATTTAGGTCAATTTGTGAAATATACGAAGTACACACGCTTCCAATTACATATGTGACTAAATTGCTTTATCAGCGATTAGATGTATGTACGTAATGTTCCAATTCTGGGAAGTGAGGTAACTAATGACCGACTCGGCGTATAAACAACTAGATTCTGTCAGACAAATTAAGATAAAGCCATGCATTCATCAAACTGACAGAATACTAGATTTAATGTAGATAATGACACTAGTTACACTACATGTGACAGAGTTATTTATATATGTAACTCGACCAGTTCTTTTTTTAAATAAATCAATTAGAACTGATTTTTTTTTATCTTGTAGATCATTTTTATGGTATTTAGAACGCTAAACGAGCTGACTGATCACTTGATGGTAAACGGTAACCGACGCCCAAAGACATGTATAACACAATAAAATACTGTGACGTCAATGTTTATACTTCATGAATCGTCATTCCTGATGCTTGTAGTATCTTGTAATTTCACTGTTATATTCACCTTTCAAACTGAAACACAGCTATTGTTTGTTATCATAACAAAAAAAAAATGGAGATCCCTGCCTTAGTACTTTAATAAAATATAAATAAGGATGTAAAAGCGAAACTATGAATGACTAGTTATTTTCCACGGTTTCACCCACATAAGCCCATTAATCACTGTTCCCGTTGAAATTAAGTAGTGCTATCGTATTTCATATTATCAAGAGTTTTCAAAATTAGCGTGTATGCTTGATATGAATTATTAAAGTGAAAGAAGCTTGACATATAGATAGAGGACCGGATCATGAATCTTTTTCATTCGTCCTCCCTGCCTACCCCACAGAGAACTTACCGTGAAGATAGTTAAATTTACTTAATAACATAAGTAGACATATCGAAGCTTAAAATCATTTAGTTGGTGTAACAAATTGCCAACGAATAATATTTTAATCTATTCGCAAAAAAAAACACGTTCATTTCTTGCCAATTGCGTGGCAAGAGAGCGGAATTGATATAATAAATCGTGCTTTCGGTTACATTTATGTCTCATAAAATAGCGTTAGAATGTTTTTTTTTTTGTTAAGTTTTACAATTTCACATTAATTTAAGTTTTCACTTTCTTCAAGGCAAAGAATCATCCTAATTCTATTAATGTATTTTAGATATGAAAGTATGTAATCAGTTGTAACACGTGAGTGTATATACTCAATCGTACATCTATCTTTGGGAGTAAGCACGCACCCATACCTACTAGGTTTATGCTACGCTTTGTGAGTGTAACCGGCCTTATCTACGCTCTTTTATGGCCATTTTACGATTATAGCCTCTTTAAATTGGTTATAAATGCGAACGATATGAAATTTCTATATAGGTATAACTTTAAATGGATATGTTCATTTAAGCACTTACGGTTGTATATTAATTTTTATAGCGTCAGCGAGAGATGAGAACCCACGGTGTGGGCTTATTGTGTTTTGTTTGTCGTTTTTTTTCTTTTGTCGGTGCTAGCCCAGCCGTTCTCGGCGCGGTTGTGCCCCGTTAAGCTCGATGAAACGTACTGATCAATTTAAAATACTTGTGCACAGCATTGTGTTCAGTTCTTTTATAAAGCTAGCTATCCTTGGTATTGCTTTTTCCATGCTTGTCAATACATTTTTTTTTTGTTGACAGAGAGAAGATAGTGATAAGGCTATTTTGACCATATAAAAAGTAATGCTTTATTTAATGCCATCCGCATAGTCTCGAGGTTTAAAAGCGGTATGCATTAATTTGACAAAAAAAATATATTATTGATTATCCATAACACCCCCAAAAAATTTATAGTGTTTTAAAATAGCACCACGTAATCGAATACGATTTCGAGTGTATGATAACGTAATATGATAGTAAACATATCTGTCATTGATTTTTCTTTGCATTCTTGGTAGTACATTATTAAGCAGAATACTGTAAACAAAAGATTTCTTTATTCGAATAATTATTAATTACTAATTTTATTTTCCACTGCTAAATTATTGAAAACGTAGGCATCTAAATGACAGTATTGAATTTTAACCTCAAATCGTTAATTAAGATATTCATAAAATCGAAATAAGAACTTCAAAATGAAATACTTATAAATTTACATAAATAAAAATATGTTTATGTATGTACATCAAAATTATCTTCATAAAAGAAAATAAATGAAGCATTCACTATAGCATAGAAATCTATGAACATCTTGCAACCACTTTTTGCGTATTATGGGCCTTTTCGGTTAACGAATTAACGAACAGTTTATCCGATGTGTTTATAGTAGTATTTGTGCACACTGGCACAACACCATTTGTACATTTTCTTTCTTGGAAACAGTAAAAATTAACAAAAATAAAAATTCGTGTATAACACTAGACGATCGTTTACTTTCCCGTAACGTCATTGACGCAATATTGCTCAAAAATTGTAAATAGGCTAGATACGAAAGCCATTTCAATATGCTCTTGTATGAAACCTCATGCGGTGATCACTCGAATCCTTAATCTTAGTGATGTAAGAGAGATTGACGATAATAAAAAAGACCATTCCAGTACTAGAGAAGAAAAACTCGTAAAATATTATCAAGTCTCACCAGCGCGGTGATATTATCATTCTCTTGTTTTTTGGATCTTTGTTCGTCAGTGGGACGTTAATTGATAGTTATAAATATTTTTGCTGACATGTATATTGTTGTTTCAGGGCTACAATGGTGTGTGCGTGTGCGGGGCAGCGGGGGGCGGGCGCGGCGAGCCGGCGCGCATGGCGGCGCCAATGAGGGAGGGCGCGCCGGCCGGCGGAGCTCGCCCCGCGCCCCACGCGCACCCCGCCAATTTCGAGTACGATGACAACGAATGGGACATCGGCATCGGCGACCTCATCATAGACCTCGATGCCGACATAGAAAAGACTGACGAGGCGGGCGGCATGGCGGCGCGCGCCGAACCGGACGCGCAGCGCACCGCGCTCAAGATGAAGATCAAGCGTACCAAGCCTGGCACCAAGAGCTCCGAGGCAAAGCACGAGATTGTTAAGTCGAACGAAATGAACGGCGAGCCGAAACCGCCGCCGCCAGCAGCCGCCGCGCCGCCCGCCGCCGCTAAACGTGGCTCCGGTGGTCACCGGCGTGACAAGGCGCGAGACAAGCACCACCACCCACACCCACCCCACGACGTAAATGGAGTTGCGCGAGTTCCGCCACCGCCGAACGCGCCCGGTCCGCCCGCTGCGCCACCGCCTGCGCCGCTTGCAAGCGCGCTGGCCGCGCCGCCGACGCAAACCAAACCAGACTCGCGGCCATCACCCGCGCCGCGACTTGAACCCAAACCCACGACTCCCGCGCCGACAACGCCCGCGACGCCCGGGCCTGGGCCCGCGCCCTCGCCCGCTCCCGCTCCCGCGCCGCAGCTCCTCCAAGCGCCACAACCAACCACGAAACCGGAACCCGATGATTCGCGGCAACAAGAACAACATAGTTCGCAGCCCCCAGCAAAGAAACTTAAAACGGAACCTAAGGTAATGAACCATTTTATATTATATTATTATATTGAAATGATGGCTAATCTTGACGTGAACTTTCTACAGCTGTTAGATTAGCAAAGTATCAATCAATTATTAACAATTCTATTGTGAACGCGTTGCTCTCTTGTGTCAAAACTTTCTAGGTGGCTCTTCTAAAGTTACTATTACCCGGACGGTAGCTTTACGAAAGCTAGCATTTTAAAAAAGGTAGGTTTGGAATTTAAGCTCAGGATTTTTAAAATGCAGTCAAGAATTACATTGATTTCTACATGTTTTGGAAACGGCACAGTCTGCAATCAGGAGGAATGCTTATATTAACTGACTCCATCCACTATCTAAATTTTGACTTTGTTGTTGCTACTATTTATAACATATACCATATTTTTTATTGAATAAGTAATTGGAAAATCATGGTCAATGTTGTCTGTATATGCTCAAAATGGCGCGGCACATGCCGTGCTATAACAAAAGAAAACATAACACTGACGTATGACAACATACATTCCAAAAATTGAAGCAATTAGAGTTGAAATTAGAATTATATAAAGTATTATAATATTAAAATTGATAGCTTATTAAAGAAATACATAAAATAAGGCAATTTTAATGACCTAGTATTTCAAAATTCCGTAGGTAAAAGAAACGGCGAATCATTCTTAATGTAATTATCTGATCGAATCAATGTTGGCAGATAACAATAATCGCGTACTAATTGTGCGATTGCTCTTATCGCGTTTGTATCGGATTGTTTCGGAGTGTATTTAATTGTCCGGGCTTAGGGCTGTTTGCGAGCTTGATTGAGTGCAAACGGTCGCGGGGAGTAATCCACGCTGTCGCCCACCGCATCGGTTCATTAAATCACCCCATGCTCCCTCGCTAGTGGTTCGCACGAAAGTCACAATGCCCGTTACGCTCTACAAATTAATATTATTGTTAAGCCAGCCTCTGACTTTAATAAGTAATAAGCTTCCGTGTACTGTTTAGTACTTACTGCTTTGAATAAATTATTAATTCGTTTATCTTTCAAGGGTTCATCAAGTCAACATCTAATTTTTCTTTTATAAGAATGGACGCTTCTGCGTTACCTGTCTTTCAAAAAAAGAAAATATATATATATATATATATAGAGAGAGAGAGAGAGAGAGAGAGAGATTTTAAATCTTTTCGGATTAACCTTTCAGAAATGTCTTTGGGTGAAATGAACTAATAATACAATATTGAAAATTTTACTAAATACAAATTTGGCATCAGATTTATATGTAGCATGTGAAGCTTTAAAATAATTTTTACATACTAAAATATTTCAGTGTCAAATTTATATGGAAATCTTATTGAGTGATAGCATTATGAGGTCAATTTTTAAATGTTCATTTAGATAATGCTATATCATTTAATTGTAAATATTGAGAGGTCATACAGTTGATACAGGTCATAAGTATCGGGTCAACATAAGGGTATCGCTAAACGACCACCGCTATCGTCATTACATAGATATTAGTTATTAGTATATAATATAAATTATTAGTTCTTCATTAGTATTCTGAAGTAGATCTAGCTCCTGCTACAATAATGCACGTGTGACTTAGAAAGTGTGTATAACTCAATCGCTTATGCACCTGCATTACATGAACATTTTTCACAACTCGCATGGGTATCATTAATCAAGCTGACGTGACTTGAAGTTATTGCTAAAGGCTCATGCAAATTACGTCCATCTCTTATGAACTTATCACGTTTAACCGCATCAAATTATGCTGTTTTATATTTATATCGTGTACACCAAAGTAACACAGCTGCTTAAGCAATATTACATATCGCAACCACAATATTTTATGGCAGAAGTCAAATTACTGCGCCACATAAAGGAATAGCGTATTTTCGTATATCGTAACGTAAGGTAGGGTGTCTCCCTTTACTTTTCTTGTTATTATTCGCGAGACGAGGGGAGCATCGAGACTGAATATATCGCAGTCTCCGAAATTCCTTTCATTAATCACTGTCAAGGGCTCTAAAAATTTCTGAAGTGCTTGTGGATTCAATTTAACGTTCACCCTAACTGGTAAAGTTTTGGAACGAGCTTGATGATTAAAGACTAAATATCCTTAATCTGTGGTATGATATAGAATAATTTTATTAATAAATTTATAGTATATGGAGTAATTGTTTTTGATAGTTTATATATACAGTTGTTAATATTATTTTTCCACACTCGCTTCTATCCATTCGTCCCCTTGCGTTTGTTATTCATAATGTTATACTGCCACAATTGTGTTCTTCACTATACAATCAAACATAATGTGCTATTACGATACACTGTTTCTAAAAGGGGAGTGATTGCTTTGTCAATAAAACGTTTTTCAATTCCTATTTAAATAGAACTTATAGTTAAATATGGCCGCTAATAGCTATATATGGATTGGTTATAAAATTTTGAATTTTAATCGCTCATACATTTTTATAGTTAAATAACTATTTACTGATAGATATTTTTACGCACGACTCAGCGCACATATTTACTGATTAGATAATTAGTTAAAAGATTAAGTAATTTTTGTTAGTCATCTAGAACTGTACTTCGTGATGAAACACGTAGGGAACTATGCGTAGCAGATGATTTGATAGACGGCCTAAAATGTAGATGATAATCTATTGATATTGTATATTAATAATAAGAATTTATTCGGCGAATTAATTAAATTGTCATTAAATGCGATGATTATGTAATAAAATTTAATTATGCCCTTAAATCCTAATTAAGGTCGTTGCATAATAACCATTAACATAAAAAAATTTAATCATAAATTGGACTATTTAAAAACTGACATGTTCGTTTATTACATCTATCGTAGCGTAGTAGACAAATTAGGGCTTTTGACCTGTAACCTTCTTCAAAGTGAGAGAGGCTGTAATACTCTCATGTACTGTCTTTATATTATTATGTTGGTACCTGTTGATGCAGCTGGTAGCATTTTAATTAAATCTCGTAACGATTTAAATACTTTATGTTACATGAAAAAATTAAAAATTAATAACTTATGGAGTTTGGCAGCTCTTGTCTTCATTTATAAAATTTATTAAACATGATGACAAATTAATAAGATCTCTGTTGCGTCGACTAGATGAGCATGATCTTTAACATGTATATGTCGTGGCGAATGAGGTTAATAGCACCGCTCGCTCGATTATACAGATCGCTCTGAATAAATTTACATGTTGATTGCCGGTTGATCAGTGTTCTCCCGCTAAACTAACTGCTAACTGAGCTAACTGGCAATCAAAGCTTGCCGTTCTTATTAAATAAATAACATCACGGTAATTATTGAGTTAATAAAGTATTATATGTCTACAGAAAAAAAACTTCAAAAGAAAACATGAAATGTTATAAACAGATACTCGTAGTCAATCACAAGGTTGTTGATTTCTCCAATCATCTATCGTTTACGTGTTTGTTATACTAAGCTTCAAAGTGTACCTACCATCTGTCAGTATAAACGATAGGGATAAAAACACTAATATCAATGATAAATTCCGTTGAATTTTTCGCTTCAACGACTTTATTTATTCCCGAAACGGACGTATCGCATTACCTGCCTGAGGCGTATCATCATTCATTTCACAAAAACGTTATTGCTTTAGCCAAAATGCTGTGACCTCTCGGCCAGACCGTGAATAAAAATTTTAATAACGAATACTCGAAGTAATTGATTGATGTGATAAAATAAAATTGCCTCTCGGAGACCAAAGCTGTCCGTAATACTCAAATAGGATTGGCGATTGCAATAAATAATTGCGAGAATTATTAGGCTTCGTTGATGAGCTGCCGTCGGCTAGTCACACTCGTATGAAAACAATCGCTGGTGAAGACAATAAGTTAACGTTCTGCAAGTATTTTAGTAGTTCAAATCCAAAAATAAATTGTATTAAGTGGATACTTATAATAGGTAACAGACATATAGGTAAGTAGATAGTTTGAATGAGTTAGTAATTAGTGTCGACGTGCAACATTATAGCTTTATTATGCTATTGAGTAAGACAGCAGAAGGCGCGAGGAGTTAGTCAGGCAGCTGCCGGGGACTACTGTGTAATTATTATTGGCGTAATTAGGATGTGAGGCCGGGCAAAGCCCGCGGCGCCGACAGCCCGCTCCACTCTAACAAATGCCATTATTATTTCCGCTTCGCATTATACTCGGCTGCGGTTTGTTACGTTCTCGTTTATTATGTCATGAACAATTGAAACGATAATAAATAATCACTTCTGCAGAGCAAATTGATTCAATGTTAATTGCTGCGATGTTATCGCGACTCTCGTTCTCGCAACTCCGAAGTCGGTATATGGATGTGCGTTTATTTTTACAGTTAGTTATTTAACGGTTTTGTAATTTACCTATGTACTCGTGACTGGATCTGATATCATTCCATTTGAAATGTTCGCTCATCGCACGACAGCCGCTTTTCTATATCGAGACGCTTCAAAGCGCATTCTATTATTATTTTATTTAACATTAAAGTGAACCTGTCATCACTGAAATAGCATATATTTTTGTTGTGCTCCCTCACGAATTTTCTTATTCTTGTCATAATTTCGTCTAGTGAATTTATACGGTATTCCGGTAGCGCATCGAGATCCATGTTGAGTCGTGTCGTGTTCGGTCGACTGTGTTGGGGAGCCGGTTGGTCGTACTATTGGCTTATAATCCGCAGCTGCCGTGTACCTGCCCGTTTCTTTGTTCAAGTGGAAAGTTACTGCGCATAGAGTTCGCTGTCATCATTGTCAGTCTTTATTACAGATATTATAGCATCTGCTTGATTTAAATAATCACATAAAATAAGAGTTATTACGTCGTTGTCACAGTTCATATCGGGGCTATAAGCGTCACATTGACGGTACTTCTCGTACTATGACATCATTCCTGTCTGTCTATTAATTATTTTATTATAAACTTAGCTACATAATTTTTATCAACATTATTCATTGCGTATTAATGATATATG